GTGCTATGAAAGTGGGGGGGGGGGCAGATGCTCAATCTTCTGATTCTCGGTGAAGTAGAAAGAAGTGGGGTGTAACTCTCAGCGGAAGGGAGATGCTCAAGTTTCTAATTTCCATTTTATCCTTGGCTTTCTTCTGCATTTCCTTCAGGGACGAGAGGTACTCTTCATGGATGTGATATAGTGTAGTATAATAATTACTAATAATATTCTTCAATGAATTATTCACAGAGAAAAGTACTGGTTTTGCAGAGTACGATTGGGGCCTGAGAAGATGGACGAGCAAGGTGCAGTTGGCTTCCCTTCTGTCAAGAGGCGAAGCAATGAGGAAATCCGGGACAGAAAGTTGCACAGTTTGCTGAATGAGGACATTCTTGACTCAGACATACAGTGCCAGCGCTTCAGGCGGTTTTCCTACAAGGAAGCGAAAGGGCCCCGAGAAGCTTGCAGCCGTCTCTACCGTCTCTGCCGTCGGTGGCTGAAGCCAGAAAGGCACACCAAGGCTCAGATCCTGGACCTGGTGATCCTGGAGCAGTTCCTGGCCATCCTTCCCCCGGAGATGTCCAGCTGGGTGAGGGAATGTGGAGCGGAGAGCAGTTCCCAGGCGGTGGCCCTGGCCGAAGGCTTCCTCCTGAGTCAGGCCGAGGAGAAGAGGCAGGAAGAGAAGAAGGTGAGAGCATTTTCTCTGAGCCCCCACGTACTCTTATAAAGCCTGCATCCATGGCCAGTTTGGTTGCTGTTCCATTGAAATTAGACATCCCTTTTTGTTCGTCTAGAAGATGATCCTTTTTTCTAAAACCTTTAGACTAAAAATTGAGGGTCGTCTTATACATGGAAGTAAACTGAGGAGAGAACAAAAACAAGTGGAGGGGGGAAGAGATCAAACAGATCCTGCCAAGCTTTGATTGCTGCTTTCCTCCTCCTTTTGTAAGCCCCAGGATTAGGAAGTAGCGGGGAAAGCAGCGAGCAAATTTTTTAATATGGAGTCAGAAAAGTGGGGGGCGTTTTATACATTTAAGCTTCTTATAAACAGAAAAATACAGTAAATTCTATTTCTGTTGATGGCAAAGCTCATTAGGATCGTTCACCTTGTTTTGTTTACAAAGGAGACATGTTTTATGCTGACTGCTGCTGCTCCAATGCAGGAGAGAGCCTTCTTGGTAGGAAAGGGGCTCCTCAGCCGCTGGTTCCATGGTGTCTGTACTTTCAGAGCTGCTAGAACTTCATTTTATGAATGGAAGGGAAGAGGGCACAAAAATAAGTTGGGTGTTGGATACGCTCCATCCCAGCCGTCCGCCCGGAAGCAGAGTTGGCTTCACTGCCCAGTTCAGTCTTTGTCTGAGCCTGAGTTCCCTTCCCTTCGCAAGACCCCTCCATAATCTGCGGCTGGGCTTTCGTCTTCAGCACTGACTCCAGCCAGTTCCATCCCTTTAGGGAGAGCTTGTCCTGGTGGGCACTCACAGGTTCCTTTCTCACTTGAAGTCCTTCTTGCCTCCACCACAGGCATTTCTTATTCCTCCTGCAGCTCCTCCGTTTGGATTGGCATAGGGGGGTACCTTGCTGGCCTCTGTGGTCTCCATGGGGGTCAGTGATCCTTACAGACCAAAGATCTATGGGCCCCCCTCACATCCTCATTCTTTTGTCACCTCCTCCTGGCGATGTGCCCTGGAACTGGGGTAGTAGATGGTTTGCAAATTGCCTTTTTTCCCAGGGCAGGAAATATGGGGTCTAGATCTTCAGACACAACCTCCAACTCCTGAGGATGATGAGTCCTCTCCTTCTTTCATTCCTTCTCCTCCTTTAATCCAGGCTTCCACAATGGGATTCCAGCCTCTACACACACAAACACACACACACACGTATGCTTGGGTCTCCATCAGGTCCACGGGGAGGGCAGATGGCCCAGGTGTCCCTGTCACACTCCCAACCCACAAAACCAAATGTAATGTGGGGGTGAATGCAGATTTTTATCTCTTTCATTGTTTTTCTTAGACTTCTGTTTCTCTTTGAGGTCAAAGATCTGTCTCTGGATGTTCAGCTGGATTTTCCTGCAGAAGAAGAGGCTCCCCTGGAGAAGAGAGCAAGGGATGGAGGGGCTGCTTTGCTGGGTAAGGTCTGGTGCTGGGAGGCCAGCTGTTTTTCAACTTGATCTCTTTTTTGAAAAGCTTCAAGAGATCCATAGTTGCATTTATGTTTCCTTGGGTTTTGAGAGTGGGAGGAAAGCGTTACCACCACACTTTTCTCCATATACGTACAAAAAATGTTTCAAAGGTCAACAGTTGAAGAATTGGTAGGTAAAAACAGCCTCTTGATATATGGCTAGAATGGGGAATAAGAAGAGATGTTTTTCACTTATATGACTTTCGAACATTTAACATACAGAAGAAGGATAGGATAAATCTTTAGCTTGCGGTGCAGTGATTAATGTGTAGTTCTGCAGTCAAAACTCTGCTCATGATCTGCGTTTGATCTGATGGGCTTAAGTAGCCAACTCAAGACAAACAGCCTTCCATCCTGCCAAGGTTGGTAAATGGAATGTCCAACTCACTGAGAGGTGGGCAGTGTGAGGCCTGCAGAATTAAATTGCCAAGAGAGTACTTTAAGCAGCATAATTTGCTGACATTTAGAGTTTCTCCTTCTCATATCCTCCAGTGTGTTCACGATCTTGCACATCCCTTCTGGAATCCCTCTGCTTCTCCTAGAACATCCTGATTGGTGGGTCAGGCTTAGGAAGTATAACTTTAGAAGCCACCTTGTGACTTTCATGGCTCAGTGGAGACTAGAAACGGCATCTCCCGAGTTCCAGTCCAACACCTGACCCACTAAACCACACGGTCTTACAAGGGCCGTCCTGTGCCTTTGGTAGGGATGTCACTTTGATTTTAGGATTTTAATCCTGTTGTCCAAGACATGCTGCATGCGGCTGGTTTTCCACCTCACTTCTATCTCTTGCAGGGGTTGGAATGACACTGGCAGTGTGTGCGGAGCCATCCCTTCTTCCTGATGATGGAGTGAAAGCAGGAGAGGTGAGAGAAGGATCTCTAGGAGGTTGGGCAGGGAGCAGCCTGATTGTTTCTTCCCCAGTTTGCCTTTCTGGGAATGAAGGGGGAGTCTTTCGTTGTAATATGTTTTAGAGG